AAATGCGTATGCTGACACGTATGATCATAGGTTTCTGACAGGTTGTCTTGCTAACGACAACAGAGAAGATGATTGAAATATATATGGTCAAGCGAAACAAATTGCCAGCCTAAAAATGAGGGCTTTATGAAAATGTTTACCTCAATACTAAGTTTTCGTTTACAAAAAAATAAAAAGATTTTGGTTTTATGGATATGTACCAATTCGGTTTTAGAAAAGGTTATCTGATATTAGATAATATGTTTGGTTTAAATGCTTTGATTTTTTTTTTCATTTCTTGTTTTTAACCGTTGGATCTAGTATCTGTTATTTGCAGAATAACTCACTTGTTTGTAAATGCCTTTCATGTATGTTCAACGAACTTTGTAAATGATAATACCATGCGCTGTATATTATATGTAAACTGTTTTAACATGAAGATGACACTCATAAGCTTCAATAGCTTTCTGACCAATCCAAAAATGAATTGTGTAAATGATGTTCATCATGCAAAATGTAAATATATCGAATCAAATGCTTTGATTGATTTGTTACATTAAGGTAAAAGAAACTTTTTGTGTGCATTTGGTTCTTCATTGTATATAAATTAGGTTCATGTTACACATATAAAGTTGTCAAGTTAAACATTTCTGGTAATAACACCATCAAAGTTGTAAAAGTTCATGATAAGATTGAGAACCAGGAACCACAACCTAAAGCTGGATTGCTGTAGATTACAATTTTTGATTGTTTACTTTATGATATAACTGAACTTACTTCTGAAATAGTGTAAGCAAATAAAATGTATGATAAAGCCAAATTTATTATTTAAACTAGGTTTACCAGGACTAAGACTCTTTTTAAAGATAATTCTTGTTTACACAGTATGCCTTCAAAAATATATTTCCTCATTACATACAATGCTCCTTCCATTACATGTACAATAGTTGGTTTAAATTGACACACGTTTTGGATAAATGATAAACTTTTCATATTTTCTCCTATTCAATGTAAAGGGATTCGCAGCCGTAAAAAGCTGTAAACTTGTTACATATCCTTATAATTTAGATGAACGCGAAATGGTCAAATACGATTTTGTTTCAAATTTCTCTTGTAAAACAGGATATATTTGAGTAGGAGGAACAAAATACCGTAAAAAAACCTCTAAAATACAGATAATCCGTGCGTAATATTAACATCGATATAATTGTTTGCTATCTTTCTTATCATCGAACTTTTATCTATCCTTGCCCTTGTCAGTTTAGTAAGTGCGCGAGTCTACCTTGCTGTTGAAAAGATTTTGGGACATTTGATTTAAGATTAAAGATCTTTCACGTCAGTTAACATTATAAGGTTATAGCCCACTAGTAATTTAACAACATGTTTTCATTATATCAAAATATCCCATCTTAATCTAGTAATGGATACCCGCCGAAAAATACATTTAACATGTAGTTTAAGCAATGAATTTGCCTTCAATGAAGTTTTGATAAATATAAGTCAACTATATGTAGATAAATATAAAATATTTAAGACAATGAGATGAAAATAAGAAAACATCATTATAGCCATTCAACAAACAGTTTTGATTAATATATATGTAAATTTATTTATATATTAAACAGTTATTCCTAATAAAGTCAGATGAAACACTCCGAATGATATAGTGCGTGCTTAAACATGTTTGTTTTATTTCTTATTCCAATATATAACCTTTTACAAAATCAAAAAAAAACAACCATCAAACTACACTGTGTAAAATGAATACAAAATAAAATATATTTCGTATATAAAAGTTTCAAAACTTACCTAAATTGCTGAAATATATCTCTTATAATGATTTCAACATTTCAGTGAATTTAATATATGAAGTATAGTTATCGTGTTAAAATGTTCACATATGCCGTGCTCTCTTATCTGTACATTGATTTAAGGAAAATATACTTGAATAAAGATCAAGAAATAACATTTTAGGTTAAACACGGAAGTCCGTATTGCATTATAACTTAAATATGCAACGTAATATTTTTTTAACATTTTATGCTCCTAAGCATGATCAATGCTCGTGGAGATTTGTTGACAGTAATAATACAGGTATAAGTCGAACACGATAACGTTTACATTAATCGGTCATACCATTATGATGTAATGTTTGGTGCAAGTTATTCAATTATTACACTTTGCATTTATATTGCAATATAAAAGAATAAAAGTGGATATGGATCGTAAAACTGAGTAGCGTAGTGGTAAGAGAGTTCAGATTATAAGCAGAAAGTTTATATTTTTTCCGAGTTCAAATCTGCAGTTGTGCAATATTTTTTTGAGTTTGTATGGTTTTTACTTTCAAAAAACATTTTCATATTCTCTTATAAACCTGTAATTTATAATTTTGTACAATTTAAAGTTAAACTTACAACGGTTACGCAAAACTGAATGAGTTTTATTTTAACAGTCATTGAACATATGGAATAGTATTGTCAATTTAATGCTATTTAAAACTCTGAATTCAATTTGCTTTTTTTTTAAGAATTTCGGCTAAATTGTATATTTATATACAATCTTCCAATCCTCATTTATCATTCTAATCACGACTGTGCGGGTTGCCTCTAATTGAACCTGTCCTGAGCGAATGTTTGTAAAACTAAATGTTCTCAAATACCGGTAATATTGTATGAACTCAATTCACGAGGAACTAAAATCCAGATCTTTGAAAAAAATATATAAAAAAAAAACAAAATATAAGAGAAGAAAAATGCCTTTTCCAGGAATCGAACCAGGGTCTTTACACTGAGGAAGCCAACACTCAACCACTAAGCTATTACGCTGAACGGTCATTAAATGAGTAATTATTTTGGTGATTAAAGATTTAGGCCATAGATAATATGATTTTGTATAAGAATTATCGACACCCCTATTTGTCAATATTGTTGTAAACAGATAATGAAAGGAATAGCGAATTCGAGCTGTATTGATAAACGTTGATCACACACGGCGCTGTGTCTATTGTTTATTTTTGAATGGGATACATACTTTGTGCATTAATAATTAGCCATATTAATTTTACAAAGCTTGAGACATATTCTGAAAAACACTTGCAAGTTATATTGCAAGAGGATGTAGTTACTTAATTAATTATTTTTGCTGAATGATAAATTGAGCAATCTTTTGTAAACTATTTGTATATAGTTTGGAGTGCATTATAATTATGGAAAATAACGGAAGAATAATTTTTATAACTTATTCAGCAGTATGACAATTTCTTGAGTTAGAAAAAAAACGAAACAACCATTCAAACAATTTTTCCAGCATATTTGGGCTGCAAAAGCAACCTCTAGTGTGTTAAGTTTCTTTCCACACAAGATATTTGACCGAAGATATTTGAAATGAAGCAAGATATCATCAGAATAACTTTTCTGATAAAGGACTGAGTTGTTGTGTATACTTTTAAGATGGTAGTTTAGTTTCTTGTATTTGGCCTTTTTCAACTTGGGGGGTTCCAGTATTCCTACTTGAATACTGTATAATCACCCTTAGGATATGTTGCCTGCTTTTTAAATTTGTCTTTTGACGTCTTATCTGTGATATGCAGGCTACATAACCTCAGATCCCCTTTCAAAAGTCCATTGATTTCTCGTTTAAGGCACACGCATTCTTTAACTTGGGGACCATATGCCGCTGTTCATGGAATGGCACTACTGTGTAACATTGAAGGTTCCATGATAATCGCCATATGAACACATCTGCGGATGTCTCTAAATTCAAAATTTTACCATTTTTAGTGTTAAATGTTGAATTCTGCTTAAGCCGGTGCTAGGGGGCGTTGACGGTAATTTGCACTTTCCAGTACCGTCCATGAACAGGCTCAATCAAACCGAGCCTGCAACATTTTACAATTTTGCTGTGTTGGGCTTTCTTTATGCAGGCGTCACACTGTCCCGAATTTGGCATCAGATGGACACACGAATAAGGAAATGTTCAAATTCGGATCTGATCGTTATAACATCGTGCCATTCGTAAGGGCATCTTTTGTCATCGTATGATCCCCGGCTGAATATTACAAGCTCCGGCAGCAACTTCGTGAGCGGTTCCAAAATCTTTGGCATGCCAAAAAAATTCCCGAAGATATTGCGAAGGTTTATTTCGTGTTGAATTCGTATGTCAATTTTGCCCTTCGTAAGGCCGTCGTGAAGCCATCTTGTCAAATCGTGTAAACTTCGTCTTTTCTTCGTGTGATCATCCGTGCAATCTGACATTTTTAGCCTCAAGAAGACAATACGAAGTAAACACGAAGATTCCCGATAGTCTTAAAAAGGGAACACGACTACGTGTAGCCCCCGCAATACCGTCGTGTCACCATCGTATTTTGGTACGATGTCATAGAAATGGGACCACGATGAGGCCGAAGAATGCAATTTTTAGTGGCTCAAGCGTTGCATGTTTATCATAATGAAAATATAAACGGCTAGACCATCTTCCTCATCTGTCACTCTTGCACATCTCTACAGAGACATCAAAAGCTTCCATTATTTGCAATTAATTTACAATTATTTTCAGTTTATTTCCTGCAGAATTACATGCTTTGATGATGCGTCAACCTAGGAAAAGAAGGCAGCACTATTGCTACTTTTATGACACCTTGGAAAACATAATGAGGCCCACAGGCCCACTTTGAGTGGTATGATGAAGTTTTATCAAATATGATAAACAAGATCAACAAGGAAAGGCAACGTTCAATGAACGCAACCCCCACACAACCAAGCAACAAGAACCAAGTAACACAAAAGGACCCCCTCCCCCAAAAAACGGACAGGGCGCAAGGTAGAGCACGGATATGCTTATCACTTAAATGATACATAAGACGAAATAATGGTAAACGACAAGGAAATCAAAGAAAACAAATAAATGATTGATTTATTAAATAAATAAAACTAGGGGAAAAAGGGAAAATACTTACCGTAGACGAAAAAACAACAAGGGATGCCGACAAAAGTGTCACCAAAACAGTATGAAATAACAAAGACATGCATCTGAGGAACAAAGAGGGCCGCCGCCTTGGACCGGTCAGAAGCATAAGCACTGCTGGGGAGTTTAAACCGGTTAATAGTGCACCAAAAATCACTCTTAGCTCACCATGTAGACGGTGTAAATAAAATGAATCCCCGCCAGGTAAATATATAACAGTTGTTATGGTTTCAAAAGGTAAAATAAGTAAAACATCGAGATGATTATGTAGGCATTAAGAACTGTCCATCATAGAGTATCCCACTTGGTCCGTCAGATGCAATCAAAAGAGGAAAGGACCAACTGTTAAAGTGTTGAACACTATGCATGCGGTATATTTAAAAAAGTAGAGTCAAAACCTCTTTTGGTTAAACGTTTAATAATTTTAGTAAAGGCAACAATGACCAAATATCTTGCGAAGTTTGTAAATAACATCTCTGTTAAAATCATTTTTGAATCACTACTGAATTTTGAGATTAAATCAACGTTACGATTGTTAAATTTTGTAAAATATCTACGTAGTTTATAATAGCGGTATCCCTGTTTGAGTAGTTTGCTAGTAATGAAAATATTTAGCTTGTTAAAATCTTTCACGTTGCTAAAAGCTCTAGCGAATCTAATTTACTGAGATACATATACCCCGTCAGATGTTGCATGCGGTACGTCTCCATCTAAATGTTGATAGTTTACTATACCATAATCAAAGACGTCACTTTTATCATAGATTTTTGTGTGAATAGAATTGTTTTTGATAGCCAAAATAAAGTTTAAACGTAGTTTAATTAGCTCCCAATACTATCTGCAACTGAAATTTGCCGCGGTTGGCCGTGGGTTGTTTACCACCGGGAGGTGAAGGTCACTTGACGCCTTTGTAACCACGTACGAAGGCATCGTACTCAAAATACGACGTTGGGTACCTATCTTGTGACCTTCGCGTGTCCTGCTTGTAAACTACTTTGTACAAAATTGCATCTTTGAGGTGACTCGTGTGTGTATCGGATGCGATCGCGTGACCTTCGATAGGAATCGTGTGTGGCTCGGATGCGGTCGCGTGACCTTCTGTAGGAATCGTACTGGTTTCGGCTGTTGAGAGACTGTCGACCAATTTCGGGGCTATCTTCGCACGAAATTAAAAATTTCATATTCGTATGCCCATCTGGTGTCAATTTTGGGACAGTGTGACGCCTGCATTAGGGATTCTATTTTTCTCTATTTCCTTAAGGATGAAAATTTGCCCTGTGTCAGAAATTCATTAAGATTCAAGTAAATGTTCATATTTGTGTGCTTAAACAGAATTAAGAACACATTGTGCGATTATTTTAAACATTTGGTTAACAGCAACGAACTACTCTGATAAACTAAACAATTTTATTGTACCTTAACATTTTTGACACTTCAAAACACCGATATTACCGAATTGGCACAAAATTGCCATCTAGACTTACACCTTAAATCAAATGAATATACTGTTAGTTCTCAGTACAAGGGTAGCTTTTACATCTTTTTGCAAATTTATGAATGTAAATGTTTCGATAGAATCAGTGTTGCAATGGAAACATAAACTAGTTTTTCCCCACAAGTTAAATGTAAATACTATTCACATTGTAACCTTGTTTGATATATTGGACCTTTACAAATTATGCATTAAGTTTTCAGAAGTTTTCACTCTTTGTTCAGGACATGACAATTGTCCTGTTTTTATAGAAACACTGCTTAATCAAATCAGAGACATATATATTACTGAAAACAAATTTCAAAAGTTCTATAAATAGAGAAAAAACTGTCAATTCTGTTTTGTATTTAAGTAAGCGTCTTAGAATGGAAAAAGATACATATAATAACAATGCTTTGTAATTAATCATTCAGGCCTATTAGGAATTTTAACCGTGCATAACTTAAAAAAAGTACACTTAAAATTGATATATAAATTTCTTAATCAAGCACTTGTATCATATTTATTTTCGGAAGATAATTACCCCTATTTTTCTTTTAAAGTAAATGACTATTATAATATAATTGCTTGCAATTTTATCATTGTGTTACAAATGTAAATGAAAGGATTACAGTCGAATACATCTTCTTTGAGGTTTTAATATTACTAGGCAAATAATTACAAACAATGATCTCATTCAGGTAATATTCTTCTGTATATTAGCGAACAATATTGCCATAATTTTAACCGTTGTCGTCTTTTTGTGGTAATGTTATGAACATATTAAGACATGTACACGTAAAATTATAATTTGCTGACAACTGCTGATATCACTGAAAAACTGGTTTGAATTAAATACTCTTGTAGATGTTTTCCGTGGATCTGCAAGCTTAATTTCTTTATCATAAGTCAAAACCATCCTAAAAACTATAACACAATATCTACGTTAATAAATTCGTAGGTGAAATTTTTTTTATAAGTAGATCTAAGACCAAGAAAAAAATTTAATGCAAACAAAAATGATGATCACCTCACCTGTCAATCAGATAACAACTTCACGGTCGCTTTTGGCTTTAATTACCCTTTTTAGAACTTTTCATTGCTTTGAATCACTACCGGAGTATATCCTTGATTGAATTAAATCACTTTTTCTTTCCACTTCTCGCCTTTTCCTTTTCCAATCTCAAAATTTCTTTCTCGTATACGTGACACACCTTTCGTATTGTCCGCCATTATTTTAATCACGTGACTCAGATCCGAACATTTACGGAAATAATCGAAGGGCTTCCCGCCAAAATATAAATCTTATTTGACTAACCCAGTCAAATAAGAAAATGCATTTTTTAGAATGGTTAGAAATGTTACGGAGAGCGTTTCTAAGTTGGAAAACTTTGTCAATACTAGTTAAATAATGCATTTGATAACAATAAGGCGTTAATTTGACAATCTGTTTTTGATGAATTTGACCAGGAATATAACTTTAACCTCAGTTGTATAGTACTTCTTTAATGCAACAGTAAAACCTTTATATTTGCATTCTGACAACATCTTATAATACTCGATAAGTACACCTTATGTCATGAATAATTCTGACTACAGAATCATTCTCTTTTTTAATTACATTATGAATTTATAAGTTTCAATTTCAGCAAATATTTTTCTACTCCGACTTTATTGTTCATTTTGACGATTTGCTTTTAATTAACGAGGCCTCTGTCAAGCATTAACCATAGTTAAATACTTCAATATCTCTGTCCTATTTCATATGCATATTTTTATAGAAAATTGTGTATGTGGGTGGCCATAAACATAGACCAATTCTATCAAACCATGTTAGCATCTGCATTCAAGTTAGTAATGGCGACTGTTGAGCAAATAAATACATTGTTCTTTACAATATTTCTGTATTGCTTTATTTCAGGTTTCTTATTGACAAATATGGTTTGTCACAAGCGTTTTGGGTGATTGGTGCATTCCTTTCAAACATGTGTGTGGCGAGCTGTGTATTTCGGCAGCCAAACAATATTTTAAATCATCAAAACAAAGCACTCAAATCCAACGATGCACAGTTAGAAATTAAAAAAAAGCATTTCTCGTGGCCTCTCGGATGAAACAAATAATCAACAGAAAAAGCTTATTGAAAGGTGTTGCAATGCACTTAACTTAGATTTTTGTTTGTTTAAAAAAAGACGTTTCTCACTGTTAGTACTAGCTTTTACTATCTGTTCATTTGGCCACATTACTAATTACATTTTAATTCCTGCCCATATAAAAACACTAGGGTATAGTAACACTTACATTACAATAGGTGTATCTATAATTGGTGGCGCAGAATTGATCAGAAGAATCGCTGTAGGGTGGTTTGCAGATCTGAATTTTATTCAAAAGAAATATATATTCGTAGTTTGTATGTTTATTGGAGGAGTGTTTGCTTTGATATCACCACTGGTCGGTACTTTTACGTTTATGGCAGTGTACGCCGGAGTCGCGGCGGCTTTTCCAGCGTCTTTTCTTGCCCTTATATCAGTGTTAGCGATTGAAAGTGTGGGTATGGAAAATTTTGAAGCAGCCTTCTCGATCATGTTTGTCTGTATGTCAGTTCCGTCTTTGATCTGCCAGCCTATCGCAGGTAGGTATAACATATTTTCCTAGAAGTAATTATCGTAAAGCATCAATACAAATCTTTCTTTTAAGATAAATATTTACACGTGAAAAGACTGAGGAATCACTTCAGGAGAAAGTGTCACGTTATTATTTCTTTTCGACCATGAATAAACATTGTGTCACAAATATAAGATAATGTAAATAGTTCAACCCACATATAACTTCGTTCGTTTTTTTTTTATTTTATCAGGTTGGATGGCAGATTATTACGGAAGCTGGTATCCTGCATTTATCTTAACCGGTATTACTCTAATTTTTGCTGGTGTTATACTTTTGATAGAACCAGTTGTCATTCGATATGGCATGGGCAAAACCTACTCATTTAAAAATGTTGATAAAGAAGTGGCATCTCCAGTAAATTGTATACATTTGAAAGCTCATAAACAAGACAAAGAAGACAATGAAATCAAATAATCCTGATATTATCGAAGAAACACACGTTCTTGCATTGGAAATTTAATCCCGAAGAAATAACAATATGTAATAAAAAACAAAATAAATTTACTTTGATGTATGTTATATGAGCCGCGCCATGACAAAACCAACATAATGGGTTTGCGACCAGCATGGATCCAGACCAGCCTGCGCATCCGCACAGTCTGATCAGGATCCATGCTGTTCGCTTACAAACCGACCGTATAACATGTAGAGTAACTGATAGCGAACAGCGTGGATCCTGATCAGGCTGCGCGGATGCGCAGGCTGGTCTGGATCCATGCTGGTCGCAAACCCATTTTGTTGGTTTTGTCATGGCGCGGCTCAGACTTATTTTTTCAAATATTGACGTCATATAACCTATACTGCGTTAGTGCGACGTAAAATCAAACCAAACAAATCATATATTGACATGTAACCTTCCATTTATAACCTGTAAGGAATGTAAGGAAATCAAATTTGGACAAAACCGTATACAACAAATGTTTTGATATCACCCTAGCCCCCTCCCCCACCTTAAAATATCACCATCTTTATCTCTATGAACCGTTATAATCAAGTTGTTCATCTTACGATATATATGTCGGAACAAGCACAAACATGCAATCGAAACAAACAAACAGATTAATATTTTAAAAATCATAATCACATTTAAAGGTTATATATATATATATATATATATATATATTCACACATACCTTCTCTTACGGGGCCCATATATAAGACCGAGTTGAGTGGCATTATTTCATGCAGTCAGTTTTTATAAACGCCACTATATGGCCTATAATGAACATTTCCATACAACAGAACTAAGGGGTACTAAGTTATATATATAAACTATATATTTGATTTTACCATAGGTGAAAACATATTGACCAATAACATAAAACCCCATTAAAAATATATACATTTGTGGGACATATATCATTTACTACTATGTTAGAAGGGTAGCCTACGCCCCCATACATCATTTTAAACATGCCAGAGTTGCGAGGCCTTATGTATGCCCCACATTAAATATAAACCCCACAAGTATGGTCTCAAATAGACCGATGCCCCGTAAATGGAGGAATGTGACTGTATATATTTAGTAGTAAATGATATATGTTCCACAAATGTATATATTTTTAATGGGGTTTTATGTTATTGGTCAATATGTTTTCACCTATGGTAAAATTAAATATATAGTTGATATATTATAACTTAGTACTCCTTAGTTCTGTTGTATGGAAATGTTCATTTTATGCCTACATAGTGGCGTATATAAAAACTGACTGCATGAAATAATGCCACTCAACTCGGTCTTATATTATGGGCCCCGTAAGTGAAGGTATGTGTGAATATATATATATATATATATATATATATATATATATATATATATATATATATATATATATATATATATATATATATATATATATATATATATATATATATATATATATATTCTCTATACAACACATTTCGTGCAAAAGAACATCAAGAGTAACAGAGTTTTGATTTAGACAAAAAACAACTTTCATATGAATACAATACATTTGCTTACATAGTCCGTTTATTATACTAACTATAACTCTGGGAATGCGAGGAATTCACTTAAACAGATCACAACATTCTATGATTTAGCTAATATAATTTATCCCTTTTAGATGAAATAATAAAAATATGCTATGACCCTCAGGTGATATATTTTCTTTTCCAAGAGAAACTCGTTATTAACTTGCCATAAACATTCAGGCAAAATAATTTATTCAAATGGATACCAACAAGAAAAAGTGCCAATAAGTATTTATATTTCTCCTAGAGTTATTACAAAATTATCTCTGAAAGTGCGACTATTCCCTTGAAAATGATTGAAGTGATTGTCTTCATCGCGTTTAATATTTGATAACAGGGATACAATTGCTGAATTTTATTCAGCGATACTATCGACTATTTAAATTTGTTTTATAACTAAAAAGTACAAAGTATTCGATGTAGATATCGAATAAAACAAAACGTTTTCATCTGCCTTAGTAAGTCGCATTTCATCCGAGTGAAGCCGGCATCGTTTTATAATGTGTTGACAAACGTTTTAGGAGGCCAACTTGATAAAACAATTTTATATCATAAATTGATCATCAAATATTTAAAAGCTATAACTTATGGAAGTTGTGTGCAATTGAGATTATTACTTTTATTATCGAACAGTGATATATATATATACACTAAAAAGTTAATAGGCATTTGTGTAGTTTTATGATCGTTTTAAAGCTGTCTAAATAAAATACATTAGGTTATATTTTACACAATCTAAATGACACCTATTTTGTGAACTTGTACCACATTTAATGCTCTGTTCATTGGAGATTTATGGTTACATTTCATAACGGTGGACGTAACATGTATTTTTCCGTCTTTATACTGACATATACATAACTTTTTTAGATTAAGATGACTCCTTCAATTGACGCATTGCATATAACTCACTTGTTTATTGCTTGAATTGGTGCTTAGTATATCTTAGACTGGAATAAGTTCTGGTTTGTAATGGCTTTGAAATGTGAAGTGTACTATCTCTTATCCGCCGCTAATGGTTTGAGTTTAGTTGATGTTATTTTGAGCAATATAAAATACTGTTTATTTCATCAAAATGGACAACATGCAATCTTATATGTCAATTTCTTGTTCAAATGCAATATGACATGACTGAAAGATAAAGAAACGTAAGTTGGAGTATTCGAAACTATCGTTTGTGCTATTGAAAAAATATATATGATCTGCGTTTATGTCAACGAAATTTAAGTATATACATGTATATATGTATGTTCACTATATCTATGATAATATACCAGAATTGATATTACTCTTTAAATGTGGTAAACTTTGATTTTACACCCGAAACTATCATTTGTTCAAACAGCCTAACATTTGTTCATGCCTCGTTATTTGCCTAAGTTGGTTATCTTGTATAATTAATGCTCATTGATTCCGGAGACAGCATCTTGTTCAAAATGCATTTTATTCGCCGCCTTTGAAATATCTCTTTTCATTCTGAATTTAACAGAAGTGTTTGTATTGGAAAGATAAAATTATCCAGAATATTGAAATAGATACAATCAACTTGCTATTGATATTTTTTATCGAAGAAGTAAAAGAATTTTAGAACTCGAGTTCAATAGAATAAACTAATTATATGAGCCTAACGGCGAGGCTTTTTTATCACCAGGGTCATGATTTCTGCAAATTTTGTTGTGTACCCAAAAACTTCGTTGACAATATCTTTGCTCTAGGACATCAAAATAGACTTACTGGTGTTTATTCGATTCACGTATAAATAAATAACTGATAACTAGGGCTGACAACTCTAAAGTCCAGTGGGGGTGATTGTAAAACTTTTATTGTGTCTACGATTTAAGTAAATGAAATCTCCCTGACTTTTCCCTGACTAAAATTAAACTTCTCCTTATTCCGTACAGCCAACCACTTTACTATCTGCAATTGTCTAACTCTTTATTTATGTGTATTATTTATGTTGTGTTCTATTGTTTCTTTGAATTTATTTTCTACCTAACACACTGCAATTATATTATCCTTTAATTCTCCACTTTAGTTTTCCTTCATTTTTTTTCTACAAGTATAATTTTTACAAATGTCATGTATAATGATAATGAAGGGTATGCTTGAAATTGGATGCATGCCAAAACAGACAAAAATACATATACCTTTACATAAGGAGCAAGAATACGAGTATATATATTCAAATCGAAAAAAGAAAATTATCAAATTTAAATGTTGCCTACTACCGGTTAAATATAAATTAATATTTAAAGGCTACACTATTAAGTGGTGTTGCAAGAACTGTGGCCTTATCTCTGACATATAATAAGAAAACATTTAGGCCTACACACATGTTGTTAGTCATATGTCCTCTTCATGTTCACCCATGTCAATAATATGCATGAAAAGAATTTGACTTATATCAATTAGTTTGTTCTTACAGCTTAGATAGTTATTAAAATTCAAAATGAGATTGTGAAAGCACGAACGATTCGCGTGTGTAGTAATAGCCAAAGTGAATTTGTATACAAAATTATTTACTTTTTTACATTACACTAGACCATGCTTTAGAGGAAATAAGGACTATAATTAATAATATTCTTAAAGGAAGAAAAACAACTAGGTTATTTGTCGGCAATACAAACTTACGTGATTTATCTTTTCTTCCTTATTTAAAATTAGAACAAACAAGAAATAATTAAGATATATCATTCTTTGAAAGTATACATACATTACACGATTTTAGTTTGTTAGTATATTTATATATAAAAAGGAAGTTAAATAACATCAAACTTTTTAAATAAGCCACTATTGATCTGGAATGTAGAACACAGAAAATCGATTCCTTTACGAAGGGCAAAACGGGGAAAATAAAAATGGTGCTAGCTGGGTTTATGAGTCAAACACCATTATTTTAGAAATAACAAACATATGTTTAGAGAAAATGTGGCCTTTACAAACAGACCTTTTTCTTGTAAGAATTTTGATAATATTTTCTCTAAATACTAGCCAGGTAACTATGTTTTCAATCCAATGTTTAGCAAATTATGGATATGAAAAAATCATACAATAACCGGTTATGTGCTTTGTATCATGGAAGAAAACAAGTTCGTTTGAAAAAGTAAAAAATATGTCGTAATCTGAACTTGTATAGTTTTCAATTCTTTTTAGCGTGGTATAGCTTACTCGCGAACAAGACGTTTTGTAAAGAATTAAAAGCTAAACGTGCTGTGAAAAATGTATTAATAACGTAATACAATAATAACGTTTTTAAGGCTTACAGACTATGTACAGAGGAAGGTCGTTTTAATATTTTAGATTTATAAGATAGATTATGTATTATTTGCAATTGGCAATTTATTGAATATGAGTATATCAATTCTTAGCATGCCGATTCTTTTCTGATTTAGATAACTTTATTTACAATGACATTCTTGTACATTACCGAATTAAATACAACATTATTATTAAATTGACACAGAAATCTGTAATAAAAAATAAATATATATATTCAGCAAAAATAGAAACCTGACAGTGTTTCCCTATTGTATTATTATTGACGGAAATGTAAAAACGAATGTAGGGCATGAAAAAGAA